GGGGGGGGTGTCTGAGTGCTGGGGAGGTGGAGGGACAGGGACATTTGTATGCTCAGTATTGCTTGAGAGGGGGCTTCCTTCCCACCACTGCCTGGACTCTGCCTGGGTGCCATGCGGCTCCCAGCCTGGGCAGGGGGAGACCGTGGGGGCTGAGCCAGGCTCTGACTTGCTGCCCTAACCGCAGGCCTGTTCCTCCCCTCTTGGGGCCCCTTTCCTCTGGAGAGCTCTTGGGACCGGCTGCGCCGTGCCCTGAGGCCCGTCGGGGGGGAGATTGGGTGTCGGGGAGAGCTCTGGGCAGAGCCTGACCCCAGAGGTTTCTGTGCTTTTCCCTTCCTCCCTCGGACAGCACCTCCTTCAGCAACACCATCGACCTGCCCATGTCCCCGCGCACCCTGGACTCGCTCATGCAGTTTGGCAACAGCAGCGAGGGAGCAGAGGCCAACGCAGGAGGGCAGTTTGGTGAGTCCGGTGGGACACAGCACCCGAGGGAGTCCTGCCTGTAGCCACGCACGGAGCCTGTAACCTCCAGCTGTGTCTCCCTGCAGAGTCACTGACCTTCGACATGGAGCTGACCCCGGAGTGTGCTTCTTCACCGATGTGAGGTTGCTCCGCTGGTGCTCGTGGGGGCCCTTCCAAGGACTCGGGCTTCCCGCCTCCAAAGAGCTCCCCCGGTCTCGCCCTGCTCGGTCACAGTTGCTCTGGGCCTTTCCTTGGGAGGAGCCGGGGTCCTTGCCACCGATTTCTTGTTTGACCCAAATGAACACCCCCCCTCTCCAGGGTGGTTTCCGTTCGTCTCTTTGGGGGGAGGGGGGATGAACCTTTTTCTATTTCCTTCCATAACAGTTTTTTATTATTGTTTTGCTCATTCAAGTGCCTATTAGCCTCCGATCGCAGCCTCAGTCTTTACAAATGCTTCTGCAGCCCCAGTTGTGCTGCCTGCTGTTGAAAGCTGCTTTCCTGACTGCCAGAGTCCAAAAGCCTGTGAAGATCTTATGAGCCTGGATTTGCCTCCGGGCACCTGAGAGAGAGGATCGGCCCGGTCCTGGCATCCGTACGGGTTGCCTAATGCGCTGTGCAATAGGAATCCACATTGCTGCCGCCCCAGCAGCCCTCCCAGAGAGCAGAGGCTTCTCCTCTCTGCACCTTTGGCCCTGCTTTTGGCCAGGAGAGGGACCAGCACACGGCTCAGAGCTGCGAGGTGGAAGCGCCCAGGCCCTCCTGCCCTGCAAGGCCGATGCTTCTGCTGGGCTTAGCCTGGGCTTTGCTGGGAGCGGGGAGTTGCGGTGGCTGCCTGTGCTTGCCACCAACTTCCTGCTGCGGGCAGAGAGATCCAGCTGGCTCCAGCAGCCTCAGGGCTTCTGCTGGGACAACTGGTTTCCCTGCGGTGCAAAGGCTGCCCTGGGGCAGGGCAGCGATGTGTCCCAACACCAGTGCATGCTTGTGAGCATTGCAGCATTCGCATCTTGGATCTGTTTTGGGACCTGGGTATAACCACAGAGGCTGCCCCAACTGTGGCTCACCCCACAGCTGGGCTAGTGACAGGAGCACGGCTGTGCCCCCCTCGCTGTGCAGAGTTAGACCCATTGGACCCCAGGGGAAGGATGGGAGGCTGCTGGATCCAACGTGACCTGCAGTGGATGGCCTGGCCTGGCCCTCTTCTCTCCGGTATGGCTTATGATGTCCCAGGCAGCGGGTTTGCAGCTTCTCTGGGGCTTTGCGTGGCATTTTTTGTTGGAGGTTGGCTGTTGCTGTTAGGCTAGGAGG